AGATCATTACTCTTTTCCTCTTGTATTGAGATGTGTCTTTAATGATGATGTATAGGGGAAAACAACATGATTTGACAATTACGTGACAATTATCACCCCCGACAAACACACAAAATCAAAATACTACACCACAACAACCAATAGTGAGGGCTATTGAACATGTATTGCCTAGCTATAAAGTTAATGCAATAATTGGTGGCCAATTTTTTTCCTGGCTTAAATTGATTATTTTACGCCAAATGCATTTTGTTGAACCTTTGTTGGCATTTCATTTGGCAAGTTATCACCCAAAATCTGACGGAAGAATATCATCAAACATTCCTTTTCGGATTAACGGTGTACTTAGGTTGGGGTTTTGGGAATCGCAATCAGCTGAGATTTATTGATGAGTGTCCTTTGTCCTGTGATGATAATATGGGATGATTTGATTTTAATGTTCAGAAAACTACCTGGAAATCAATTATCCAGGTGATTTTGTGTCGTCTAGAAAAATTTTTATGACAGGATCGAACACATTCGGCATTCCGTAGCAATACACCCAGTGAATATAGAATATTCTATACCATAAACGCAAATTTCTAATTTACATTTCTACATAACAATAGTTAACGTTGTCAGAAGCTAATTTTACATCAAGGGAATTAATTGATTTTCGAACACTGTATCAAAGACCCCTTGAACTCTCGTGTAAAGGACGATGACAACGTGTTTCATTGAAAAAATAATTAAATTTCCCCATAAACTATATAAAAGTGAAGAGATTTTTTCTCCCATAAAGCTCACTGCAGGTCACAAAATTTGCAAAATCATTGTTAATTTGTCAATATTTAAATTGAAAAGTATAAGTTTACTGGAAGAACTTATTCAAATTCCTCTCTATGTAAAATCAATTCAGATGTGACATCAAGTCTAATTTCAAGAATGCAACGACAGCCTGAAAATATGAACGAATTTGCAAAATCATCTAATAAAAATCAAGGTCAAAAACCATATAAGTGAAAATTTTTAGCGAGAGGCAGATTTAGCTAGAACTCCTTAAAAATTGGTATTTTATTCTTAGGAGAAGTAATTTTAGCGATATTCAAGAACTTTTGGACAATTTGAAATCACAAGATTTTACCAAAATCAACAGCTTAAAAACTAACGACTTTTCAACTTTATACACAACCATTCCCCACGATAAATTAAAATCCAGGCTTTTTGATTTCATTGACAGCTGCTTCTTCAATAAAAATGGAACTCGTTAATTTGCTTACCTGGTCATTGGGTCATTTGCAAAATTATTTTGTATAATAAGATTCTGATTGCACACACAAGTACTCTGAAGTTGACGTCAAGAAGATGCTTGAGATTCTGATTGACAATATCTATGTGGGTTTTGGAGACCAGGTCTACCAACAATCTACTGGAATTCCCATGGGAACCAATTGCGCTCCGTTATTAGCAGATCTATTTTTGTATTCATATGAAGCAAAATTTATGCAAAATCTTATGCGTGAATAGAAGAAAACACTTGCTGTGGCCTTCAACTCGAACTTCAGATATATCGACGACGTATTGTACATGACAAGGAACACACGGCGGGTGTGACCGGTCGGCAGGGGATGCTCACTCCTCCACGGCACCTGATCCCACCTCTGATGTTTCGGAGGTCCGCGTTTGCTCTGCTCCTATTTAGTATTGTTTTATGGACTTTGATATTGAATACTATTCGTTATCTCCATATCCTTTATCAAAGAAGCTATTATAAATAAAACGCGTCAGTTTCTACCGCAACACAGACCTCAGTCTATACGGATTCAGCCGAAGGACCAAATTGAATATCCACGTCCCACAGAGGGATTAGACAGTAGACTCTAGAGCAGACGTTCTATCACTGCGCCACGCAAGTGACTTCAAATTAATTATTATCTTGTAAACGGACATTCTGGTAATTTAAAACTGCAGTCATTGTTAGTCCCAAGCGATGAAAGGTAAAGGGGACTAAATAAATTGTATGACCCCCCCCCCCATCACCGCCTGTATCTGACTGCATGTCAGTCTGTGAATTTGATCTATACATAGTTTTCCTTTATGCTTGCAAAGCTAAATTTTGGATTTGGAGTCGTCTAACTTTATGAGGTGCAAATGAGGTACGTCAGCAAATACAGTTTGTCATTGAGTCTAATGCTGACTAACGTTTTTCATACTAACTGTTAGTCCATTATTTATACACTGGATTGACGACTGTTTTTTCCGTTGTTTCCCGATCGTGACAAGAAGCACACGGCGGATGTGGCCAGTCGGCGGGGGTGCTCGCTCCTCCGTGGCCCTGTTCCCGCCTCCGGTGTTTTGGGGGTCCGTGTTTGCTCTGCTCCTGTTTTGTATTGTTTTATGGACTTTTGATCTTAAATACCGTTCGTCATCTCTGTATGTTTCATAAAGCTCTATTTAAGCTCCACTTCGACAATCTTTAAGGGAATAATTGATTTTTTCAGTGGAACCCGACTACCCATGCCGTTTGGGAGTTTGGATTAAATTCTATTTTGATAAAATGGCTTAATCCATGTAGTACACCTTTTTAATTAATTCTTGAACTTCTGTCTTGAAAACAAACCCTAGTTTTATCCCAAATATCATTAGACTACAAAGTATTATTTAACACTATTAACTGGAAGCAAAATAAATGTGATGGACAAGTGCTTTTAAACTCCTCTTTCGATAAACACAGATCACATTCCCTTGGGCCTTTTTCAATGAACCGAGAAAACATAAACGCTTTGTTTTTCTATTTAGTCACAATTTATACCCCATTATTGTCAAGATATCTATTTTTTGTGATAGGCGATGCCTTTATCGGAAAACCATGAAAAATTGCACCTCAGGTCTTTAAAGACTTCTAAACTAATAAAGGGGTGGGTTCGTAGATAAATCATTAAGTACCGAAATCTGAAATGTACTGATCGAAAATAAAAATACCTTAATTGTGCCTAGAAATCGCTAAATTGCATTTATCATTGTCCGCTTGTTATGAGGTTTGATTATGACAAAAAGTTCCATGTACCAGTCTCGAGTATTTTCAAGGTAAATAAAGATTGATTTATTAGAAATCGAGATTTTTCATAAGAATTTATCGGTGTCGTGTAAAATCAGTCACAATAATTAAACAAAATCATTGTAAATGTCATTACTTTATCATTCTCTTTTATCTTCGCGATGTTATTCTTGAGAGATCCACTTCAAACTTCGATGCAAATGAAATTTAGGACCTGCTTCAAACCGTGCAATTTTAATTAATTATATTTCAAATATCAACAACACATTGTAGTTGCTATAATATTTTCGAAAGCTTACAATAGATAGGGTGTCTCTTGACTTACAAGAAGGAAATAGGTACAAATATTCATGCTGTTCATTAATCTAATTAGATTTTAATTTTTCATGAGTATAAAAGGAAAGAAATTGAAGGCAAAAAGTTTGACCGATTGATTTTTCTATAACTAAGAAAGTTCTTTTGATTTGGCTTATATAGAATGTTCTGTTGTTGTTGGTTTTAGTAGAATGTTCTGTTAAATATCTTGCTTTAGTTGATTTATACCCTTTTCCCCCCAGAAAACTAGCTCTATAGAGTAGGATCCCCCATCCTAGAAAATTGGCTGGAAAGCAGGATCTACTCCCTATACGTACGAAAAAATGGCTCTAAAGGAGGATTTCTCCTACGGATATCCCAAATTAGAATCAATTTTTCAAGGCAGATTCTACTCAACGCAATTAATTATATTTTGAGATTTTATTCCAATAAAATATTGTAGCTTTAAATACATATATGTATTAGTAGGAAGGAAGACAACACATTGTTACCAGTGTTCCGTCTTCAAAATGGCGCACAGTTAAATTTATGAAGTATGAAATTGAATATATTTTTTTTTCTTCTATAGCAATAAAATCTTATTCTTTTCATCTAGTCAAACTGGATCTGAAATGCTACAATGTAAATGGTTGGCATTTTTAAAAAAAATTGTATTTATTGGATTTTATTGGATATGGATCTTTTCTGTAATTATATTTCAAGCTACTTTTATATCATACTGAAGTTATAGAGTCTTTCTGTTGCAATGAAACTAGAATTGGATAATTTATATCAAAAAATTGAATTTGGAAAACATAAACAGAGTTTTTGCGCTCTCTTATTCAGTATTAAACTCCTGAAGTCGAGGTGACATACTAATGCTTCGGCTGGCAAATTATGCAGTGTTTATTGAATTTTTTTTTTTTGGGGGGGGGGGGCTTTTTTTTCTTTTGTCAGATTTTCGTGGGGAAAACCTACTACATCGCTCAGATTCTGGGGGTGGTTAGCTATGGGGGATCCTACTATTTGACTATTTTGAGAACTTTTTGACAGTTTTGTAAAGGAATATATAGAATAGAATCACCTCTGAACAATTATTTTCCCACTTCAATTTTGATCTATATAAAGGAAGAAGAGACGTGCAAAGTGCATATAGTTTCAAATGTGTAAGAGCCATATTCAGTTTGTGAGTTTCAATATTTCTCGGAAAATAGTAATGTTGAGTAGTTAAAGGGGTTTCTTGGTTTTGAGGGTCTTTGTGCCATGTTTTTGCAATTGAATTATGATCATTTTCCTCAACCTTTGAGCATACCAATATAATCTTGTTAAAAAAAAGGAACAAATACCCATTCATATGGCAAAACTGAAATATAAGACAAGTATTCAAAAAATGAATATTTTTTTTTCGTTTTGGTGTACATTTAATGGAAGATTCATTTCAATCTTTGAGAAGATTGTGCGGAATTTTAAAGATTTTACCTAAAGTATACTTTAATGAAATATGTCACGAAAATTTGTCATAATTGAAATTTAATTTTTCACCGAATGTCACATGATTTTGCTCACCTTGAATTTGAGTTTTCACATCTAAATGTTAGCACATTCAATTTCTTGATATTATGTTTTAAATACATCTTCACACTAAACGATTAAGGCAAGCAACAATGTTAAAAACTTTCTTATGATTTATTTCAAATATTTGCAGCATAATGTGTATACAGAAAATCTTATATCTATTATACATAGATATTGACAAATATAACTGAAGCAATTCACACAATGCACAAAGTGAAAAACCCCATTTAACATTCATTCACTTCTAACAGATTTTCTGCTTTCAAGAAATGAAATCATCAAATGCCTGTATCTATGAATAACAGGTTTATGTTTTCGCTCCACATACAGGTTATAAATATTTAAAATATATCCACAAGATATAAAAGTAGAAACATGTCAAATATTATGTAAATACTACTTGGAGAACTACATGACTAATTCAGAACTTCTGGTATTTCGTTTCTGATAATTTCATTATCAGATCTTGGTAGTAACGATGAAATGACGGAGGTGAGATTTAGTGGATTAACTTCCGGTGAGAAACGAACTACTGGTTTACCCTGTGGGTTGATGACAAACTGCTCGAAGTTCCATCTGATGTCACTGACACGGAGAGGTTTGTAAAATAGATCATCCTCAAATTCATCCGCTGTTGGACCGCAGTACTTCTGTAAATTTGAATGTCAAGCAATCGTATCAAAAAAAAAAAAAAAAGGAGAGGGCTACATTATTGCAGCTAGCAATCGTAATGTTATTGTGAAAACAAGCTTTTTCAATAGACCATTGTTCATTAGTTTTTATTTCACATGAACATATGGTGTATACAATTGCATATTTAATCTTGATACACAATATGATGACATTGGTTTTGTTTTTGTTTAATAAAATATCGTTAAACTTTGTACATATACTTTTAATAAGTATACTTGCCTTTAAGTAAGTAAAAAGAGGGTGCTCATTCTCTCCGTTGACGTCCAGTTTGGCAAACATTTGAAAATTGGGAACGTATCCGTTTCCAGGGCGGACATACTTAATAGTATTTAAAATTTCTGTAGCAGTATCTCCCGGCTCTTGCTGAAAATAAACAAAATGGCTTCCCTGTTATACCATAACTGAATATTTCTACCCTTCTATCAGGCAAGATTCTATTTAACACATTGTATTATACATGCAAATGTCTTGTAAGGTAATAAAAAATCTATAAGACTTAAATCAACTTACCAAATTAAACTGATCGCATGGAAAGCCTAGAACTTCGAACTGTTTTCCTGCAAATGTCTTTTTAAGTGCATTGAAACCCATATAGTGCATGGGGGTTAAACCTCAGAAGGAGGCAAGATTTGTGATGACCAAAACTTTGCCACGGTACTCCGACAAAGAAATGTTCCTGCTCTGATAAATGTCAGGAGCCATGAAATTGTAGACCGACTCGGGAGAAGATGCTGGCTGTAGACATTCTACCTCTTTTCCCTGGGCGTGGCAGACGACACCCAGCAATGCCAAAATGGCGAGGGAGTGTCGACACCCCGCCATCTTCAGCATTATTGAAGAAATTATCTTAAGTTAACGATTTATGATAACAGTGACTTTGCTCCCGACATACTAATCATATGAGGTATTGATATCACGAGACTCCATAATTATCTCAGTTTAGTGATATGGCCTTAATTTGGAACATTTCTGACATTTTATGATTATAGTTCATATATCTTTTAAATTTGACCTTCTCAAGAAAATCCCTACTCATATTAATACATGTTAAGACTCCATGTACTGGTATAAAACTATTACATGTTGATAAACAGATTTCAATGTTTATCTTTGAAGACTTTAACGTCAGATGACTATTGCTCGATATCTGTTTTAAATCCATTGTTAGTGAAGAACAATTTAATTTAAACTGTTTTCTAAATGAATAAAGACACCCAAAAAACTATTGTATTGCATTGGCATGCTATTGATTATTTGATAGGATTCTAATAAGATTGAATTTTTAAAAAAAAAATTATAAATACTGCTTGCAGTTGAGGGTAACATCGAAAATTTTCACCCCACGAAAACCATTGTCAACCTCAGCGCATCCTCAACTATATGATATTTTTAATGTATTAAACTGAATATTTTATGCACATATTTACATAATACTTTCTTTATAATTTACTCTATATAATTTACTATTGTTGACGCTGCAGTTCTGCACTGAGTGTCACGTGATATCATTCTAAGGTAATTTGATCACAAATATTTAAGAAATCTTTGTTCAGAAACATACTTAACTAAATGTTATATGTATTCGTTTACTAGCATCTCCATATTCTTATAAATTAGTTTTTTCTTTAATTGTTAAGGGTTTTTTTTTTAAATCAAAAGACTTTACAAGTACTTTCCCTCAGACCCCTCATGAAAGATATGCAGTATTAGGGGCCACTTTCTCAAGTTTTTTTTCTTTTCGAAAAATAGTCTTTTAAGTAAAAACAAAAGAAATACACATGACAGCTGCATAAACTCTTTTCACCGTCGACAAGTAAAGTTAAAATCAACCGTCTTTAGATTTTTTTTATCTAAAAAAATTTTTTGTTATTGCCTGACGTCACGGCGTCAGGCTGTATAAGGATTGATATTTTCATAATCCGAAACTATGCGATCATACCTAGATAGCTAGATTTTATGCAGGCTGATTTACATTGGAATTCTTTACCTGCATTTTAAAAGAAACAATTTTCAGAAAAGAGATTGATATTACTGATGCAAAATACTGCAGTGTTTACTTCCTTTACTCTTTTTGCATTGAACAGATTATTCCATGTGATTCACCGTTTCAACATGTCCGTGCATCCTTTTTTCTGCATTTCTATACTACTGATTCAGTCCATTTACATTCTACGAAAGGGGTGAATCGCTCTTTGCTCACTGCTTTCTTCGCGCCTTTTTCTTGGATTGTTCTATTGTATGAATGGGTGTGCCAGCAAATTAAATAAACTTTTATCCTTTTAACATCCTTCTAATGCTTCAGAAATTCTCTCTACAAGTTAATGTTTTATCTCATTCTTTTAAACAACATATCGTATAATATATCAGTATGCGGACATGCAACACTAAAGAAATGATTTTTCCAATTTGTTTCCCGATCCCGCGGTTGGTTTATTCCATAAATGGACTAGTCCAATGATAATAAACAACGCAGTTCAACAAGTCATTGTCTCCAGATGCATCATCTATTACGCGTCTCTGTTCTGATGCACACAATATATAAGAAACAAGTGCAAATCTGGGATTTTCATTTCCACAAAGGCCTAAGTATTGAATTCACCTATTTCATTCTCAATATATGATAGTGGCACTACCCCCCTCCTTTTTAAGAAAAAAATTAATGAACACACATTAATACTGTTTACTTCAGTGGAGAAAATACACTCCAACAAAATGTGTACTTCATTATATCCATCTTTTAAAATGTTGAAAATGCATGATTTGGTAACAGATTTTACAACAGATGTTACAATGAAGCTCGAAATCAATTTAGATCGAAGGGCAGATCACTCCACTTGCAGAAAACCCCTACAGAATACCAACTCTTTAGTATGCAGTGTAGAGATGATTCTTCTAAAAGTTAAATAAAGTCAAGATTCCATTTACACAAGGTTCTCAAAATATAAAGTAAGGAAATATTTTAAACCCACGGTATTTCTCAAAAGGTTTATCACTCCTCATGCAGATATTGATTGATTAATTCAGGCAAGCTTTTTAAAAAGCTGTTACTTGTATTCAGTATTATTTTCTAAAATTCAAAATGATTACTTTGCATAACGAACAAACTAAATATATGACATAACATTATGTGCATTTGGCATTTTACTTTTGCACAACAATTAAATGGTAATCCAACAACCAAATTCTATGATAAACATGATATCTCGAACTTTTAAATCGTCAACTGCCTTACGTATACAACAATATACCTTCATTCCCTGCATACAGGGTTTATATACTGATATATGAAACAAGAATATAAACAATCTCGTTTAAAGTCATCATTTTATATGTTTTCTGCTCGCTAAAATGACCAGGTACAATCTATTATTAAGTCAAATACTGACTAACGTTTTTCATACCAATTGTTAGCTCATTATTTACACACTCAATTGTAGAAGGATTTTTCTTTACTTCCCGATCATGACAAGGAGCACACGGCGGGTGTAACAGGACGGCAGGGGATGCTCACTCCTCCACGGCACCTGATCCCACTCCTGATGTTTTAGCGTCCGCAGTTGTTCTGTTACAACGTTTGTTTTGTTAATGGACTTTTGAGCTTTAATATTTAAGGAATTTTTAAAAAGTTTTGTGTGAGTTATTGGTGTGTAAATCACACAGACTTGTCACGTAGGCATATAAGCGCGCTAGACACAACACCGTCATTCAATAATTAAAACATATGGCATGTCTACCCTAACAATTAATAAAGGCACTTCTTGTGAAGTTCATAAATATATATTTTTGCAATTTTAATCTAACTTGAAGATGAAAGGTCCAATTTTAAGTCAGAGGTTTTTGCACTAGGAATAGCATTCTGATTTTAAGTTACAATATATCCATTCGTTTAAAATAAAAAGACGATACTTTTGAATATCATGTATCAATAATGCTCCAATATTTTGATGAAAATGAAAAGAATCCAACCAATTGATTTGCAATTACTTTACTATCAAAACACAGAATATCAATTAAACTCTTTGCATAACAGAAATAAACGTGGCCTACATTTTTATTTATTGATAAAAAAAATTAAAATAGAATTTCTTTTTGAATTTTTCTTTGTCTTATTATCGAATGATCTTTAAATTGATTGATTCGTTCTACTGCTGAAATGTTTAGCCGTTTACTAGGGTAGGAAAACAAGAAGGGGAGAAAGAGGAGGCTTCATACAGAACTGGGAGAGCAAAGCGTGACAGACAACAGGACACCATAGCTTTAATTCCGAGATTGACTTCCCATCGTTTGTCTCCTTAATGTATCTGATAAAGGTAAATAATACAAGAGTGTCTATCCTTTAGGCTGATACTTTATACTGAGTCGCAAAATGACGCAAACGGTGTAAAATTCGATATTGAAAATCATTAGAGGTTGGCCTCTAAAATACCGAATGAATCTTGGGTACAAAAGCCAGCATGTTTGATTTGGAATCGCCTGTAACCTTTATTGGAGAAAATGACGATTTGATGATCAATAAAATACCCGCGGGGTTGTTCACAGTAGCTGGATCCAACAGGATCCAAGCATTGGTTACCATTAAAAGAGAGTACCCGGATCAATAAACACAGAAATCGGCCATCAAATGAGAATTGGAACCATCAAAGTTTTTATTCTGGCCTGATGCCGGATTCATTCCAAAGACACCAAAAGACATTCAAGAAAACCAATGGGCATAAAAAATGCTTTATTCTACAATCGACTGCGTAGAAGTATTCATCGCCCTCTCCTGATATTTTCCCTCAAGAAGAAAAAAACTTTATAATAAACACCCTTTATTTACGTCATGGAAATTAAAATAGAATTTATAAAATTCGAATACAACTGCCTTAAAAGGCTTATTAACCATATTTATTTTCATGATGAAAAATTGAGCCAGCAATATACATAGAATTCATTCTTAATTTTTAACTTCAAATCTATAATTTGCGAAAAAAAAAATTAAAATATACTTAAATATTCGTTACGTAAGCAAACAGTTTTATCTTTAAAAGGGTATCCTTTAGATGTGCCACATGAAGGAACATTAATGGAAGAAAAAAAATAAATAACAAAATTATTTATGGAATATTTGAGAACAAATAATTATATATTTAAGCACAAATGTTGCAGAAAAAACACAAACAACTATTATTTGTCAGCCCTTGCCACATGGCATCCTCAGAATGTAAAAGTTTTGTGATTTCGGAATTCCAAAACAACCCCTTTACATAAGTAGCTACATGTATTTAACAGTTCAGCTAGAAAGCTACTATATTTCATTTATTCCTGGTCTAGGAGTGGAATCAATCAGAAAATAGCTTTTCATTGTAGGTAAGTTTTGTAAAACAAATATGACTCGTCTTTAAAATGGAAAGTGTTTATAATATGGGATTTATGACTAGTTACTTTAAATAAGACGTCGAGAATTAATTTTGGAAGATCAACCTCATTACAATCGTAAAATAATATGCTCTGTAACACAAAACCTTTACATTGTGAGGATGGCCACATGGTTCTGCAGACATGTATGTACACCTGAAGACGGATTCAGCACTTGAATAAAATTTGGAAACTGTGCATTTTCTTTTATAATTTTACATTTAAATATAAATACTAAGCACTACTGTAACAGAAAAAAAATAAACACAAACAACTTTTATTTGTCAGTCCTTGCCACATGGTTCTGAAAAAAAATTACAGTAGTATCAAATATGCATTGCTCTAGTTTCACATCCCTAAAGGAAAAGATTTTGTTCCATCATTTCATAGAGGGATTTAACTATTTGTTCTCATTTACGGAAAGACAAATGGTTCTATCTTGGGAAAGTGAAAGGATGAAAATTAATTATCCAGATATATTTTTTAAGAAAACTTAACTTGATGAAAAGGATAAAAATAAATTACTAGTATCCAGATATATATATATATTTTTAAAGAAAATTTAACTTGTGGCCTACTTCAGATTACTTTTTAACTTACAAGCATTAAAACATTTCAATGGCACGGAAAACAAATAAAACCACTTTTTTTTTTCAATATACATGAATTTGAATTTAGTATATGTTATTCTCGCATAATCACCAGTGTAAGATTGACTTGTCCGGTGTGAGACAGCAATGTGAGATTTTTCTGTCTTACACTGTATTACTACGCCACGAACGAGAACGTAAACATTCGGTCATTATATAAAGAAATTGTAATAATGTAAAAAAAATATAACACATAATTAAACTGGTGTCATTTAACTTAGTAATATAAACTTAATTTCATTCAAAATATTGCCGTATTTTCACTTTTTTAATGGCACTATTTTTAGATAGCGGAATGATTCTTCTTTTACGCTGTCGGATAGATAAGTTTTTTATTCCCAGTTTTTATCTTTCTGATTAATTTACACGGACTGAAAATTATTTTATCAGTTTACACTACGTGTAAACCATTTTCAGGTACGTTCTCTCCAATGGTGTATTCAGATTTTTAATTAGATGGAAAATTAAAAATATTTTTTAGCCCCATCATGGCGACGTCATTGACAGGCCGTTATTTTGGATAAAATAATGCGAGAAAAATAATCATTCATTACATACTCGTGTGGGAATAGTGAAATTCAACCTCGGGGCCAAGATTCACGGTCTAGGACTCGGCAAAGCCTCGTCCTAGACTGTGAATCTTGTCCCCTCGGTGAAATTTCACTATCCCACACTCGTAGTAATGAATGATTCTATTAGTCTTAGATTGAATTCTGAGAAGCAAAGACGCTAATATTTTCTAAATTCAAGAATTTATTTGTATTTTCATGTCTTTTATCACAAACATGAAATACAATTGATTCTGACTCCTTGATACAGGTTCAAAGTACATGAAGATCACTGAACTTGGACCATTATTCTGGTAAAAAGGCTTTTACTTTAATCTTTGCAACGTCAATAGTAAACATTGATTAGGTGCCGTTTCTCAAGTACAAGTTCAGAATATTTCATACAATACATATAGAGAACATCTGACTTTAAGAGGTTCAATAATACAAATATTCATGTATCTGTTGGCACAGCCTTGCTAAGAATCAATTCATAAACATGTCTTCTTTCTTACTTCTCTTCCATGTGGTAGAGAGGTAAATATTTAAGCCTAACTCAGTGACTAATGTGTTATATTGAGACTTTTTCAGTACATCATGCTAATGAAAGCCAGCTGCATTTGAATACAGAGTTAAAATGCAAATGAACATAAATTCTTTTGACATACATTCTGCATATTTGGAAAACCAGAAGGGAAAAGAAAGCAAAACAGAAGACTTTGATCTACTTTTGCACTCTATAGCACTCATTAAAAAAATGCCTGATCAATTGTTTTTCTGAGTTTTTCATACTTAACTTAAATAAATTGGAACATTCATGAACACTCACAATTAATGCTCATTCAGTTTCAACTATTTTCAAAGTCAACATAAGAATGATATTCTTCAAAATTATCAACTTCTGGTATGAATAATAATATATAGACAAATTTTACTTACTAACTAATCTTTATTGCAACTTTTTGTTCCCTCAAGTCACACTTTCAAAGAGTGAACATTGTGACAAATCTTCACAGATATTTTCACTTGACTCTTCAGATTGTAAATTTTTCTTTACAGAAAAAACTTTTTCCTGTTCATCACTTTGTCTGCTTTCCATTTTCTCACACTTCTTTCTTTTCGTTTTAATCATATTTGGTTTATTTACTACATTTGCACTAATATGATCATGTTTTAATGTTTCTATCAGTGAAATGATGTTCTGGTAGAATCTAAAATCCACAGAGAGGGAAAATAATTAGATAATTAAAAAAAAAGAAAAGAAATAAAAGAACATTTTGGTTCACTTTTGTGTCATATTGATATTCTTACCTGTCTATTTTTAAGAAATTTTCTTGGATCTTTGTGTTGGCGATTTCAATGAGTTTTTCTATGTACTGTAATATAGTGTTAACATTGATAAAATACAAAGTCATTTAAGTCAGCATTCCAATTCCTTTTTTTTCCTCAAATATTTGAAACTTAGTTACCACTGACAAGGACACTGACAAAAAGAATTAAAATATTTTACCCTCTGCCAGTACAAATATTTTAATTATATCCTTCTTTGTTTCTAACATGATTATTAAAATACCTATACCGGTATGTTAAATTATTGATGCTGAATATAGTAACCTTAGGCAATGGTATTTCAAAAAATATATAAAAAATTATCAATATGACAGTTGTAGCAAGCTCAAAATTTTCTGGGTAGGACTTTGTATTATATACTTAAAGTTGTTCTGTGGAAATTCAGCAATATCACCAGCAATTTATTTTAACATTCCCTATATGGTTAATAAATAATAATTTATGTAACTTCTTTTCATAAAAATCATTAAAGAAAGTATAAAAAGAATACAACTGAATAACCTTATTTGTAACGAGTAGTTCTCCATCTTGAGAGAGAGGAACTTCAAGTCCATGTGTACTTCTCACAGCCTGTAAAGATATCACCAAAATACTCAGTAGACCATTGTCAATATAATACAATCTAAATATCAACCTGAAGTCCTCATTTCCACAGGTTGCTTTTTGCTAAATCTCAGATTACCTGCAATAAGTCTAAAATCTTAATTTCATAATATATCAGTAAATATGACATACCCATATAAATTCACATAAAATAATAAAATTACAAAAATTTTCAACTGCAAAAATAACCTTTCATTCCAACTTTTAAATTTACACAAGTTTTCCATTCAACAACCTTTTGTTGTCTGTACCTTGACTTACC